TTGCTACCTATTAAGGTAGGTAATTATCTATTTTCCAAGGTGTTTTAAGGAAACTGCTGGAGTTGAAGGACTGCAAATACTTCTAGCCTGCAAAACGGTGAACACTGCTGCTAGAAATCTTGTGAAAATTCATAAACAGCTACTCATGTATTTTAATAGCTCTGGCATAAGATTCAGATAGCAGTCATAAACACCCATTTTATTTTATTGTAGTACTGATCAATTCTAACAATTCCTCTCTCAGTACATCTTTAAAAACAGCCCCCTGAAAAAACACAGCCCCTGGAATAAACTTCTGTTTATCTTTCAACAGCTGTCCAAAATGCTCATAGAATAACACTTCGCTATGCTGTATCTAATTGAAGGCCAGATGCCGTTGAACTGAAGTCATCAATACCCCATACAAGCACAGGCATCTGTACTTGAGCATAAACCAACTTGCTTTATTGGCTCCTTACCTTCAAGTTCCTCGGGCCAGAACCAGTCTTATCTGTGAGGCGCATTACAAGTGTAGGGAGATGTAAAAAGAAATCTAATTTCTGGTTTGCCATTCTCCTCATGCCAGAGAGGATAAATTGTAAAATTTTTATTGCAAAATATTAAAATAAATTACATTTTACAAAGACTTAGCAAATATTTACATACAGTGTGATTCCAGTGACAATCAGCAACAAAGAACAGACAGACAGGATATTATGGAGTGATAAGAGTCAGAACTGTACAAACTTCAAAAGCCATATGAAAGACAAGATAATTTTTAAAAAGGTAAATCCATCACAAATGGAACAAATCCCACGAGGCACAAAAATTACAAGTCTACAACAGAGTTCTTGGGGGTTTTGTTTAGGTCAACAGACTTGTATATTGCTTTTTGCTCTCCTCATCAGTGATGCTTGTCTGTCTTTACACGTACTCTCTCAGATCAACTGGAGAAAAAATAATCTCAACATATATAACTGTGTTACCACGGATCTGTTATTAGTCTGCATGTTTTGTGACATCCATTGCCAGCAACAGATTCACAAATCATGAGTTCAGAAAAATTTAACACACCGCTTTTTGTATTTTCTCAGTGATTTCGTACCAGTGTATCAGATGTGTTAGACTGCCTGCTATGAGATACGTATCTGAAAATGATGCCCTTCTGGTAAACAGGATTCACTAAACCAAGACAAAACAAAAAGTGTCACAATGATGTCATGAAGGATGGGGTCACATAAGTCTACAGCACTTAAAAGGGCTTTTGTAGGAACAAGAGTTTTGTTGTCACATTTCAGGTTTCTTTAATTTTTTTTTAATTTTTTTTTGAAGTACTGGCTCATCTTGGCAAAATTAGTAAGTTTATATTATGCAAGTGGACCCATGCTTCACATGATGTGACTGGAAATACAACCTACTTGTAGGAAATAGCTAGAACGAAGAGTTTCCACTTCTATTCCATCCTTTCCTTATATATGCTATTTAAGTCATCCCCCTCCCCCTTTCTTTAAAAAGCCCCCTTCCTCTCTTTCCAGGAAGAGATCCGTCTCACCTATAAAACCAATTCCATAGCACTAAGAGAACTGTTAACATTATTGTTTAGCCAAATGAAATCTTACACAGCATCCAAAGAAAATGTTTCCAGATTGACCAGATAATTGAAATAACTACAAGACCCTACCAAGTAGCACTGGGGAATACACTCAGAGGCACTTTTGGGGCTGAATAGCTCAAAATCCAGCTTGGACACCCCTCTAACTCACTGCATGTAAATCTGAATGCAGAAAGACATTAATGTAGATTGCCCAGGCAGCTGCTTTACTCAAGACATGGAAGACAGGCAGGCAACAAGCTGTCCTGCTTAGCACTTCAGCAGTTCTGAGATGGCACCATAATTTAAAAAACCCTGGGAAATGGTTCAATTTTTTGGAGAGAGCCAGTATGAAAGCTATGCGCCAACTAAACCCCTCCAAAACACTGAAAACAAGTAGGGCTTAACGAGACCAACTGTGTTGGCCCCTGTGTAAAGAGGAATGTCTTCCCAGTTAGGATTACATTAAGGCACATGGTGGGATGTCTTGAGAACAGTTTTGTGAGGTGTGATCATGTTTCCCAAAAAAGCGGGAATATTGTACTTTGTTTTAATAAACTTAAACTATTACTTGAAATCCCATGATACGTATTATGCAGACCTATAATCTATGCTGACTACACTGGGAAAGGCCAGAGAGCCACATCTAACTTGATAATATGAAACAGATCCCATCCATTCTCAGCTCTGGCATACAAGTGCACTTCACTAACAGAGAACGGAGAGTCTGGGTTCCAGTGTGCAACATCCTCTCCCAATCAAAGCAGCCCAGCCAAGTGTCTGGGTTGTATTATTTCTGTATTAAAGAGAATTTTTTCTTTTTTTAAATGAAGATTGGACTATGCTTTTCTATTTCATGCACTTTCAGCAAGCCTTTTCTCTCCTTACTGTCCTGTAGCTTTCTAACTGTCACTAAAATTTTGATCTTTGCATCAATAATGGAAGACAAGTTGGAGGGCAACAAAAGCTGTATGGAGTGCTTTCTTATTTTCTTTTAAGTTAATGTGCATTTTTTTAAATAAAAAAAAACCGAGAAGGCTAGACTTGCTACACAAGCATCCTGTGTATCATGCATATAGTCTCACCTACCATCTTACAGTTACAAGGTAGAGCTGTCAACCACAACCCTTCAGATATATAGAAATACTTGAAGGGCTTGGAGTCATTTTAAAATTATGAAGGTGGGGGGATGTCTATTAGAAGTAAATCAGAATCCTCAATAGGACCTCTCCCTCTTTTCCTGTCAGATATAAGTCAAATTCATCCAGCCACCCCTGCTCCAAATAGCAGTAATAGAATAAGATTTGATTTCAAATTAGAGCCTTTCTTCAGCAATATTATCATAAAATACAGATTAACTACCAAATCCAATTAATGTTGATTACACATTCACATTTTTGCCAGTATAACAGAGTTGGCCCTAGCCTTGTGTTCACTTTCTATTTGAAAAAGTGTCTTATATGTGGAAAATTCTGAAAAAAAAAGACTAGTAAAGACAGTCCCTTGTTTCACAGTAGGTGACTTCAAAACTTCCCATCAATAGGCTATCCAACCAGAGTGACAGTTTCCCATATGTCCTCCTTCTTCTGTGGAAGAGGCCAGCAACTGAAGCTGCAGCCAATATTTGCAGTTATTAGAAATAGATAGAAATGCAAGATTAGCATTGTAAGATTCCATAATCTCTTCTTACAGAGCTAGTGAGGCTGCCAGCACTACACCGAAAACGAGAATGAGACAACTTTTAACTGTTCACTGAACTTTGGAAACTTTCAGACATACTGGAATGACTTAAATACTGTAAAACTAAACAGAACAACAGAACTTGACATGTTAAGGTTCAAAGGTCTTGGCTGTTTTCTGTTCCAAGTATATTGGATACAACTGAAGTCAGTACCTTTTGCCAACATGTAATCAAGAGCCTCATAGGAAAGAGTTGTCAGGGTTAACACATAGATATGGAAAAAGAAAGAAAAATAAAACCATGGTATAATTTTCTTGCAGCCAAAACAATTTGGGCATAAATGTTATGAAGAGACATACTTCCTTCTCAACGAGAAGCCCATCTCCAAGCCAAAAGTTAATACTTTCAGGAGCTTAGAGCCAAAGTTCCTGTTAAAGAGTGCCTTCTGGCCTCTTGATCACATCACTTGATCACATCTCGGTTTGCCCAAGATTTGACATCGACCAGCCCAGCCTTCCTGAATGTGGGATAGAATAACCATTGTATATGCAGATAGGTCAAACTTAAACAAAACAAATAAGCAAAGTGTAATCAACTGTTTCAGAATTCATCTGTCATTCAAGTCTACTCTGAAGTACCAAGGCAGGGAGGAACATCAAACAATACTGACTAACACACTGCACAGATCAGCAGCAGTGCTACAGGTCCCTTCTGACAGGCATATTAGGGCATCTGGAGAGTATCTGTGCCTCCCAAGGTGATTTTTTCCTCAGAAGAACAGTGTCAATGAAACTTCACCTGTACATAGATACTGTATAAGGTTCATTCAAGTATTTCCTCTAGGAAATGGACAGTGGAAGGACACTTTCAACATTAAAAAAGTTCATTGCATCCTGCTTGTGCTCATACGTGCTTTGATCAACAGGTCTTCCAGTCACTTAACTCTTTTTAACAGTTCTGGGGCTGATGTGCAGTTTAGCAGCCCAATTGGTGAGCTTCATCCCAGATGATTCTTCCTTGTTAGAGGGCTCCTTCTCAATCCATTCCTTTGGAATTTTTTATTTTAATATTTTATTTATGAAATTACAATTCACTATAATTTGACAAGCACTGACATATTCTAGACAGATGTTTCAGAAGCTTCCTCCTCAGTCTGCCAGCACACCTCAGCTCAGATCTGTGTGTCCTAGTATTCCATCTAAAGCTTCTCATTAAGTACAATGAGTGGTTGCACCATTTTTGTTGTGGTAACAACTTAACAATGGGCAACCAAAAAAAAAAAAAAAAGCAAACCCCTTGCTTTCATTTGTGATCAAAGCAGGATTCAAATCCAGGTTTTCAGAGGTGAAAGGTTAATGGAGTAACTGAACACATTTGATGCCCAAAACAGTCTCTTTGCAACAGTATAGTTACATTCCCAACCTAATTCCTCAATGAAATGCATAAACGCAGAGCAGGTCCAGTGTATTTACTAGTCTTTTCTTTTCTACTTTGTTCAAGAACCACAAAATCCCAAGAAGGTGCAGGACTCCAAATTCAACTGTTATTTCACAAGTTTTTCAGATAAGCAAAGCTGATGGGCTCAGAAACCAACTTAGGATGGGAAAAGGACACTGGAGTTTATTAGTTTGGGACTTGCTTTTGTTTTCAAAGTGACAGGAGAAGCTGCAAAAACATGCTTTTCTCCTTGCTCTGTTAATTTGTTCAAATATGCACTGACCACTTTAGAAAACCATTGTCAAACACGCTTCACGTTGCAGCCTTCACATTGCTTACTGTATTATATTCATTCATCAGTTGTTCATAAGGCACAGAAAGTTCTAGCTCGTTATTGGTAAAGGTAGATTCATCAGACGATGGGAATTTTACCAGGTTTTTTGCAGTTTCAGATTCCTCTGCAAGATTATCATCCATGGAGGATTTTGACGTTTCCTCATCATCTGAGATTTCTTCTTCTTCATCATCATCTTCATTTACAAATGTTATATTGGCATTCTCAAATATCAAGGGTCGATAGTCTCTGGAATCCCACACTTCCCCTTCTTCTTCACTAATCCTGTCTAGCTGGTTTACAAACATGGTTCCTTCTAGAGGGCTGTCTCCAATACGTTTATCATGCAGGGGTCTCAGTACATGACCATTTTGAATGTCCAGAGAAGCCTCATCGTACTCAAATGAGTTTGTCTTTGTGTAAGTCACCTGGGCATCTATACTGGCATTCTGCATATTTTGTTTGGCATTTTCTACTTTGATAATTTTGTCATTGTTTGTCTTCAGGGCCTTCTTCCCAATTTGTTTAATAAGATCATTGTAGGTCTCTTCCTTCTTTGAAAGAAAGCTGAAAATGTTGACATCCTTTGAGGTACCCATTTGAAGGGGTTTTTTAGACCGAGGATGGTTGTCAAATGACTCTTTTCTTTTTTTCCTCCGTTTCTTGATTGCTTTGTGGACTTCAACAAACATACTGACCTTCCAGTTAACAAAGAGTGAAAGCCAAGCTAGTCCCAGATAGATCCATAACTCCACAAAATACCTGTAGAGGGCATGGTAGTTTGCATCTGGATTTACACCTACAGAGAATTAAAAACAAGGACATTACTGAAAGAGGACTCACAGTTGATAAACCTTTGAAGTTATGATCCTGAAAACTACTCCTGCCCACCCTAACAGCGCCTAGTTGTTTGAACACTGCTCTGAGGCATGGTAAGTGGGAATCTGAAATCCTTCTGAAAGAAAAAGTTGATCCCAGGTCTTCCACTTCTTGGCTGCATGTATTCTGACCACTGGACTACAACATAAAATGGCAGCATATTTAGCCTCTCTTCGTAAGCTACAAAATTGAACTTTTTTCCTGTTTGAAAATTATAAGCCTTCTCCCTGCCATTGAGGTATGGCTATAGGGACCTTCCTTTTCTCAAAGGATTCAGAAATCCACTTACAAGGACCATCTCCAAAGCCCTGAACAAGGCACTGGATTTTAGAGAAAGACACCAGTATGCTCAGCATTTCCTGTTGACTAGTTCTAGACAGCTGCACAGAGAGCATTGTGCAGTACTTACGCACCCTGCTTAGTATACTGGATCCCATCCAAAGGCGTTTTTAACTATCATGGTGGACTGGAAAGCTTCTTGCCTGAAATAGGGACCTGGGGCACCCAAAAGAGTTGCAAACTCCAGAACTTGGCTTTAGACTTAGCCCAATAGAGGCCTTAGATATCTAAACCAAGATTGAAGAGCCAGATCTAGTCCACTGGATCAGTATCAGCTTTAATTGAACCTTCTATTCAGCAAAATGTTCTGGAAAAGCTTAGAAAGCACCTTTTTGAATTAGAGTTTGGAAACAGAATTGCCACACTATG